CAAAACAGTCGTTGGAAGAAGCAATATTATGGATAGCTGCACTCGTGGGATATTTTATGTGTTTATTTTATGTGCAGCAAATCGGCGAAAATAATTATTGCACAATGCTCGTAAGTTCTAATGCGAAAACTTCTTTATTCCGCCATTCGATTTTCAGTTTTATAAATACGAAAATATAAAAATAATGGCATTCGCATGTTGATTACATTTTTTTTTTAATATTAAATATAAAAGCTCTTAAATCCTTACTTTTCTTACTTTTCTTACTTTGATTTTTTATATTTTTCGAGACTTTTTTTCATTTTAGCGATATTTCATAAGAGAAACAAACACTTTGCATCTCTCTCTAAGGATTTTCTATGAAATGAGTTTCTGATACAAATGAATAAATTTTCAGGACTAATGATGATTTTATTATAAGAAATTTGAGCAAAACTAAATCAAGGCATTTCGTTTAATACAATTTAAACTCTATAGAAACTGTAAATAGTTTCCATCCCTTCTATTTTCTCTCACTTTGGAATAATTCTTTTACTTTTAATACTTCCCACTTCTTGCCATATCCTTTCTGCTTCGTAGGCTGCTCCTTTTCTCTTCAAATTTAAAACGCCCTCTCTGCGGAGATATTCAAAAGACTGAAGCAATAGCAATGACAAAATCTAACAAAAGAGAATACCCGGCACGGCACGCAACGAACCCAAAACCCAAACTCAGACACGTACCCCAGATCCGAACGAAAGCCAAAGAAATGCCTTGGCCATTGGCCATTTTCTATGGGTTTACATTTTGGTTACGATACTCCCACTGCCACTCCCACTGCCACTCCCACTCCCACTGCCGCCCTACTACCAAAAATGTTGCCGAACATCGAGAAACGGCTCTTTGTAGGCTTTAAGACTACGACGAGTCCATGCCTCAGTCCCTCCTCTGCCTTCTTTCGTTGCGCTGCGGTCATTTGTGGAAGCTTGCCCGGGCCAACATGCTCCCGTCCACCACCTGTGCCGCCCATCAATTGCAACCGCAAAATGGCAAAACAATCAACAAGCAACGCGACGGGTGTTGCAAGATTCCAGTGAGGTTGGGCATAGCGGAGGCAAAGGCTATAGTCTAAGCCCCAGCCACTATTCCCCATTCCATGATGTCAATTTGGAAGAGGGAGCCAGAGCCTTTCCCCAGAACTTCCCCTCCCTGGTCAGCCACAACGTGTTGCGAGTGAGGCAAGCGAAATTGTTTGCCCCCGAAAACCAAAAGACAAAGGAGCCGAAGGTGTAGGTGTGTGGCAGCGGTGAGAGTGGGAGCTGGAGTACGAGAACCCCCTGGAGTAGAGAGTCTTTATAGTGTATGGGGTGGTGAGGGGGTTTGCCTGGCAATTGCTTAGATTGCTGCCAGCCCGAAATTGGATAGTTAGTCAAGTGAAATATGAGAGACTATCGGATGGGGTGCAAAAGGGAATATAAAAGGGAAACGCACTTTAAGGTTTTTATTGAATACCCAAATTTAAAGTTCCTTTTTGCTTACCTTTGCCGGTAGAAGTTGCTTCAGTTAAGCATGAAAATTGAAGTACTCTGCGAACCTAAAAGAAAAAATACAAAATGGAGATTATTATGCGTGATACGGAGCTGATAAATGTGCATGACCATATAGGTGTAGAGTACTGGAGGCAAAATATGTAATAATCCCGAGTGCACAAATAACTTGCAGATTATTCTAAACCCTTCACTGGCTTTTAGAATAATGAAAATGAAATCGAGAACAACATACAGAAGATGTACCCTTAATATTTGGTTTAATCTTTGTTCCAACATTATTTTTCTTTGCATAAAATACCATAATTATAAGAAGTCTTCTGGAATTATAAAAGCATTTAAAATAAATGTTTTTTTTTTGTAACTATATTATAATTTTAATTATTATTATATTAATATTTATCATAATAAATTCAATTGAAACTCTAATTTCTTTTGTTATAATTCTCTCAAGCTCCCTTCTGTGGAGTTCCACCTAATTTCAACTTCCGCAAAATACTCAAAATATGCAGTAAATATGCTCAACTGTCTGCTATCGGATAATCTTAGTCTTTCCACTTTCCTTTATGTAGCATGCAGTTATTACCTATCCTCATTACCCTGCTCCGTCTTCAGCAGTTGAAACTGCCAAGCCAAAAAGCTATTTGTACACGGCAATCTAAGCAAATCGTTTTGTCGAGCTTAATTTCTAGTTTCTAACCTGTTTGGAGAAGACCCTCTACCATCTCTCCCTTCCTCACTGCTGCCACACTTCCTTCGTACTCTGCCTGCCACACACCGGACTCTTTGAATGGCTAATCCCAACAGACTTTGGTGGAAAAGTTGGCAGCTTTTACGGCTTCACACTGGCGGATAGCGGAAGAGGGAAGGCGGAAGGCGCGCCGCAAGGAAATTCGGTCAAAAGGGAGTTTTCGGATGCAACGATGATGATGCTGATGATGATGATGATGCTGATGATGATAATGATGATGAAGTTATGTGGCCCCAGAGTTGTCCCTGGGAGTTTTGGAGGGGGAGGGCCGATAGGATTCACACCCACCCCAAAACGGAAGTAGTCTCAAGTGTTGTTCTGCATTGTGAAGGAATTTCATTCTCGTGGCAACTCTGGCAATTGACAATAGTTTTGCCATAGAGTTTTGTTCGCAAAAGGCCAGCAGTTGCACTTGACTGCTGCGGCAATGAATGAGTGTGCCATATAATCCCCAATCCCAATCCCCAATGCCCAATCCCCAAAAGGAAAACCCAAGTCGGAAAACAGCGTTAGGGCAGGGCGCCGCTTTGGGTAATTGTAGATTCCCGGCTTTACCGACTTTTGCTTTTTGTTTTGCCAATTACTTCCACTTTAACCTCTTTGGTTGAGGGGGAGAGGAGAGCGGGAGAGAAGTTTCATAATGAGCGAACACATTCAATTCTCATTTAGATTTTCGACAATGAAATTGCTTTCTAAGGAGGTCATTCGCAGTGGGAGTGGTAGTTTCTAGCTCCACCCACCCATGGATTTATGGAAATTTAATAATCCTAAAAGTACAGTCAGAGAAAAATGGCATGGTAAAGGGAAACACCAGCCAGATTTTAATTAATCTAATTAAATACTCCGGTTTGAAGTACAAAAAATATTATATATTACATTTGTTAAAAATAAATAAAATTAAAAAATAATAATATAATATATATATATAATATAATATATATAATATAAATATATTGAATCTAAATATGAAAATATTTAAAAATACATTTAATCTAAATATGAAAATATTTAAAAATATATTTAATCTAAATATGAAAATATTTAAAAATATATTTAATCTAAACATAAAAATATTTAATTTAAATATGAAATGATTTTTTTTTAAATCATAATTTTCATATGAATGCTTAAATGTAAGTGAACAAATTTAGATTTTGTTCAATTTCCACTCTGAAAGAAAATCTATTGACATTTATTTAACTGCCCATAGTTGAACCTTAGACAATAAATAAATAAATATATCCGAAATAAATAAATCCAAGCGTAAATATATTTAAAGTTCAGCGCTTATTTCTCTGAGTGTAGGCGATGGTTCAGGTTTTTTTTATGAAAACGATTTTGTAATGTATTCATTGCACAAAACGAAACTTTAGTTTCAGTAGCAAAAACTAATAAACGACACGAAAAAAAAAAGGAGTTCCGCGAGTTACCACTGCGTTGATATGGATAGGGGGGTTTTGGGTTTCATGGTGGGGATAGTTCATAGACAGAGGGGGTGGATGGTGGATATATGTATATGGAGGTGCACACACTACACTCTCCGCCCAACAATGGCTGCAATGGCAGCTGTTGCCGCGCTAAAACTTCGAGCATCAAGTGGAAAACAAGTGGACAGGCAGCTGATGTTGACACGGACTTTTTGCATGCCCCAAAGCGTGGTGGGGTTGGGGTGTTTGGCGTGCGGTGCTTGGACAGTTTTAGTGTCGAGCCCTGTAACGGTAAATTTCATGCGAAAAAACGTTAGAAACAAAAACAAAAAAAAACACGAAAAAAAACAAGAAAAAGTATGAAGGAGTCACCGCTTGAGGGCGACACCGTACAGGCAATCAAACTCTGGCAGGAACACCAGCTGGGAAGCCCCTGGAAGCACGGGAGGGGTTTTCCCCCTGCTGCTGCTGCTGCTGCAAGTTTTTCCTGGGATAATCCGAGATAAAGGGATGCGAGTGGCGTTGGTGCGGGACACTGGGAAATATGAATAGAGCTACTCGTGAGTAAGTGAGTCGTGGGCAAGGGGTTATGAATACATTTTGGGAGGGGGGGCAGAGAATGCTCAAAAGGTCGAAAGGTGAGCTGCTGGATATGTCAATCGGAGTGGGATGATGCTTTGAGTCACAAGTGACACTTCGTAAAGGAATAGAAGCAATGCAAGTGATTGGAGGAGAATGTGCGACATATTTAGCACAGAGATTAGCTACGAGACTTTTTTAAATGGCCATCAGTCTTCTCTTTCCAGTGGAATATGAACGAAAAAAAAAGTGACTGGAATACTGTAATAATTTAAATGACATTTTAAGCAAGAGTAACGGCTGACTAGACCTATTAAAACTTTAGTAACATACAACAAATTCGTGATAAACTTTCAGTTAATGATGAAATTAATTCCCATTAAAATTTTTAACTTAAATTAAACTTATTAAAAAAAATTACCTAAACTTATTCGAATATTTTCCCAAAATATCTTATTTAATTCTTGCAAGTACTATTCACAGGTAAAATGGGAAGGAACGTGTGAGTCGCTTCTGGGGACGCGAGTCTACTTTTATAAACTTAAAACTGAAGTTCTCATTCGTTTAAATTAATTATTTTCATGTTTTCAAATTTCTCAATGGATTTTTGTACACCCAATAATACTGAAATAGTTCCACAAATGTTCTGTCAATGCACTGACAATCGATAAAAAATATATACGCTTTTTTTTGTCTACCCAATCAACCCCACCATACCATTTAAAGTCAAAATCTTTAAGTCGTAACAATTCCGTTGTAGTTTTTGTCTATTTAGTAAGTTGATATTTTTGTAGTACAAAATTAAAAACACACGAAAACCCAAGTACGCCCGAAATTATTGTGTCTTCAGCGCGGAACATCGCGTGAGGTTCGACCAAGGCTCCCAACAGCCCCAAGGAAATATCCAAATTGGTGGGTGGGAAGATCGAACCCCAGAAGAAGGGGATTTTAGCCCGAAAAAGTAGCCAAAATTAGTGTCTGTTCCAATTCGAATTCTGGATCTGTCAATGGGTTGTTGTGCAGATGTTTACCAAATTGTTAATTGATCAGATGGAAAGAAAGGTCCAGCAGCAGCAACAGCAGCAGCAGCAGCAGCAGCAGCGACAGCTGCAGCAGGCCAGGTCCCAGTTCCCCACGTGGAGCAACGCAGCCAACAGCATCAAGGAGCCAGCATCCATCACGCCGGCGGCGGTGGCGGTGGCGGCGGCGGCGGCGGCATCCGGAAAGCCATTTCCCTCGCCAAAGATTTCCACAGCCACGACAACGTCGGGAGCAAAGAATAAGCAAAAAAAGAAATTCGTGCGAGCCAGCCCCAAAGAGGAGACCAAACTGATTGGCGAATCGGATGATCTGCCCGATGCCAATACGGGTCGTATGATGAATCGCTACTATGGCGGCAAGAACCCATCGACCGCTGGGCCCGACATCATACTGAGCAACCCCATCAAGACGCACGATATGGCGGACAAGATGTCGAAGATTGCGCGACGGAATGCGCTCAAGGAGCTGGCCGCCCTGCAGGCGCAGCAGACGCAGTCGTCGGACAAGAACGAGGACGCGTTGCGGGAGCTGCAGGAGAGCATTCCGGAGATCAACAAAATCTTCGATGTGCACTGTCGCATCGGCAGCGGCACCTTCAGCAGCGTCCTGCTGGGCACCCTGCAGCGGGAGCGCTGCCTCAACGAGACGAGTCGTCGCCGGTTCGCCATCAAGCACCACAATCCCACCAATCATCCGGAGCGCATATTGCGCGAGCTGGAGTGCATGTTCCGCATCGGCGGTGTGGACAACTGCATCGGGATCAACTGTGTCGTCCGCTACAACGACAATGTGGCCTTTGTGATGCCGTACATGAGCCACGACCGCTATCACGACATCTACCGCACCATGGGCGTGCAGGAGGTGCGCAACTACATGCGGAACCTGTTGATTGCCCTGCGGCATGTGCACAAGTTCAGCGTGATCCATCGGGACGTGAAGCCGAGCAACATCCTCTACAATCGTCGCACGGGCAAGTTTCTGCTCTGCGACTTTGGACTGGCCCAGAAGATCGGCGCCGATGGGAGCATTGTGCAGGCCAGCGAGCTGAGCAACGCCGCCTCGATGGCGCTCATGCGGGACATGGAGGCGGCGCGCCATCTCATGATGCAGGACGGCAACAGTGCCCAGGACGAGGTGCAGGAGTATCTCAGCTGCCAGCACGAGCAGGAGCAATCGCTGCGACGCGCTCGAGCCATGGGCGGTGGCGTCGTGGCCAATCCCTTTGAGGCTCAGGTGGTGGCCCCCGTGGCGCCCGTGGCCAAGAAGGATGTGGCCGCCCAGCGCGTGGACACACAGCGGCTGATCAATCGTTTGCGCTTCGTCAATCCGAATGCGGATCTCAACAACTATGTCTCGCCGACGAATGCCACCAAGAAGGAGGTGCATGCCTCACGGGCGGGCACGCCCGGCTACCGGCCGCCCGAGGTGCTGCTGCGCTGCCCCATACAGACGACTGCGGTGGACATCTGGGCGGCGGGTGTCATCATGCTGACCACCCTCTCCTCGCTGCATCCCTTCTTCAAGGCGCCCAACGACTGTGCCGCCCTCTCGGAGATCATCAACGTCTTCGGGGACATACAGGTGCGCAAGACGGCCTTCATGATGGATCGCCTGGTGATGCTCACCCAGAAGATGACCGCCCTGGATCTGCGGCGTCTGTGCATGCGCTTCCGCCTGGCCGATCACTTCCTATCGCCGGAGGTGCATCGGCGCCATCGCAAGGCCGATGGCACCGTGGAGGTGTGCAAGTGCTGCGAGCAGGCGACCTACAACTGCATCTGCCGCCACACCAGCCACAAGATCGAGTCGTACGATGGTCTGGACATCTTTCCGGCGCATGCCTACGATCTGCTCTCCCGCCTGCTCGAGGTGAACCCCCAGAAGCGCATCAGCGCCGACGAGGCCCTCAAGCATCCCTTCTTCAGTGACCAGCATCGCATCGTCTCGGGCATGTCGCTGCAACAGCAGCATCAGCATCGTCTCATGCAACAGCAGCAGCAGCAGCAGCAACAGCAGCAGCAGCCGCCAGCATTTCGTGTGAGGGAAACTCTGCCCGTGGCCGCTGCGCGCACCCTCAAGCCGTACGTCTGTCAAACGCTGGGCGGCGGTGGCATCCAAAGCAAAGCGGGACCAACCGCCCCTGATGCTCCTGCGTAAAGCCGGGGGGCTGGCTCACCCCATTCAATCCAACCAAAACACGAGCCAAGCCAACAAGCATGAAAATGTCCTCCAAATTTCCATCGAAAAAAAAAATATATAGTAGTTTTCGCACATTTTTTTGTTTATTTTTGTAGATATTTGTTTTCCTGTAGTTTCTTTTTTTCATTTATTTTCATTAAAATCATTGTTCTTTTGGTTTGCAAAACACCTTTTCCTTTGCCCTTCACCTTCCCCATCCCATTATCATTTATTTGTGGTTTTGGTTTGCTTTGTCCATCAATTTTTTGATACCCTTTAAAGTTAGCATACGGCAAGTCTGTTCAGCCAAAATAATTCCATTTGGCGCTCAAAAGCAGGCTACAAGTTTCTACAACAATTATTCTAGTCGTGCAATTTTCGCTGCATACTTTTGAGCTGACAGCGTAAATACCTCTTAAATGGGTATTTCGTAGCTCCATTCACTTTATTTATTTCACTTTCTTTAATATTACACCCAGCAGCAATTTTCCCAATTGATTTTTTGGTTGCTGCTACTCGTCTCTGCCCCTGCACCACCCCATCCTGTGATTTCTTATCAATTTGCATTATTGTCGGTTACAATTTTTGTTTGTTCTTACAACCAGAAAAACCGACAAACCGACACGACATTCCGACAGTGAACGCAGAGAGAGAAAGGTTATGAGAATTTTTGCTTTCATCTGAATGCAGATTTCTCTTGTCTTTTCTTCTTCTCTTTTCTTTTTGGGACATTTTTGTTTTTGTCTGCTGCCAAGAAATTCATGACTCAATGCGAATTATGTTGACAATTTCATTCTGTGAGAAGCAAAAGAACTAACCAGAAAGAAAATCAGATATGTTAGGGTTATATCTGCATTTGAAGAAGTAAGGAGTTTTGCTGGCAAGTCACCAAAAAGTAGCAAATAAAAAGAGTTCCATCTGTCGACGTTTGCAAAAATAGTTTATTAAAAAGTTTTCCCAGCGACTTATTTGCGCCGATTTCTTTGGCTGAGTGAAAAATTGTTGCGCTCAAAAGTATGCTGCAGAAAAGTCTGCGTTCAATGCTTAGTCGAACAAATTCCATTGCATACTTTTGAGCAGCAAGATGAAAATGGAACTCAAAGTACAGTGGAGACACCCCTATGCAAATCTAGGAAAACTAAACAACTATATTTTGCACATAATTAAATAAATAAATAAATTCCATTTCCTTATAATTCGTACTGCTGTTTATTTCTATTAGTGTCCCGCTTAAGCAGTGCTCACTGCTCCTCCCTTGTCCTGCTGGCTAACATCTTCCTTACATCAGTTTACATGCCACACCGCACTCCGTTCGCCATCCTTTAGACAGACACAAAAGGCTTTTAGGCGCTTCGCTGGGGATCAGTGCTGGCCACCTCGTTTAGCCAATACCACACACAAAAACAGACACACACACACGAGACGGCTCCCCGGAGAGCCATAAACATGACTCTGCCTCATCTGTGGATGTGGCTGCCAGGCTGCCTCCTCCACGACCACAAAAGCCGCGTGCGCAACTCGCCGGACACAATGCGGCTTATCAACGCCAGCAAAAAAAAAAAAACAAAAACACAGGCAAAACCCCTGGAAAAGTAAGGGAATAAGAACTAAAGAGGGACAGAACAGGAGAGGACCTGCTGCTGCAAACCGACTGCAGCTCCTGTTGGGCTTTGGAGGAGTGGATGAGTGCTGCGTCTGCTGCTGCTGCTGCTGCGTCCCGTTTGGCGCTTTATGGCACATGATAGATTAGTCCCGGCCGCAGGTGCAACCAGTTGTGGCTTTTTCGGTGGCTTTGTACCATCCGCCGAGATACTCAGAGTCCACGTAATTAAGTAATTAGAGGAGTGCAACACTTTAAGCTACAGCTAGGGGTACGGGTACGAGTGGGGGTCTGCGTCGGCGTCTGAGTCCCGGCTATAATCGTGTTGGCTTTAAATCTGCATATCCGCTCAAAGCGAGCATGGATAAACCATTTGGAAAGCCACAAAGTTGATGCCTGCACTTTAAAGAGGGCAAAAATTGAAAGCAAATACCGCAGGGTGCAATGTCCTGGAACCGCAAACTCCATTTGACTGTTGACTCCTCCTGGATAGCTTCTACTCCTCCTGCTTCTGCTGGTGCTGGTGCTGCTCCTCCGTGTTATGCGGATCCTACTCTTTCCTGGTGCACCTCCTGCACCATTCATCTGTCTCGGTGGCGCATTTCTGCTGTCAGTTGGATGTTTGTTTGTGCCCCTGTCGCGCTTTGTTTGCTTTCCGCATGCGTTGCACATTCACCTCTAGCCATCATCTATGCCACACACACACATCTCCACCAAGCAGGCGCCAGTAGAGAGAGACACACACACACCCCTCTATTAAGGGCAATGCTCATCATGAGCTGCCACATCGATGCTGCTGCTGCTGCTGATGATGATGATTCTGATGCTAAAGCCGGGAGAGCAGCTGCTGACATCATTCGCTAGTGTCGGGTCACTAAATGAAGAATGATGGACACACACACACACACACACAGAGAAAGAGAGGGGGAGAAAGCGATGGAGATTCCTGCAGATATTCCTTGGCATATTCATCTTCAATAGTCTTGCAAATGGGTTTTCATGCATCCCATAGACAGCCAGCCATGGGCGACGAAGGTGTCATTGTCATTCATCCACTTGAACCACGACCGACCGCTTCTTCTGCTTATTCTTCGTTTTCGACTAGTTTAAAGTTAATTGGAAATTTTTAGCAATTTCCCTGCCCTTCCACATATGATTTTCCCCAGCCCACCCACTCGCCACACCCCCATCATCACTGCCGGCCCTTTGTAGAGTTGTTGGCCAATCGTGAAATTTGCTTTGGAAAATATGGATTTATGTCAGCAACAGAGGGAGCCAGCCAGCCAGCAACAACAATGTGTCATACGTGCTAGTGGGGTGGGGTGGGTTGGATTACACAGTCACTTTTCGCGCCCTTCTAGCAATACACTGTAAAAAAAAAAATAGCAGGGTGCAGAGAGAGATTTGTGTGAGGAAGGGAGAAAGTAGGAAGTGGAGAGGGAGATTTGTATGAGGAATCCCATTATGTATATTAATGGGATATACATAGCAGCATGAAATGATTTGCTTGTGATTAATTTTATTAGATGCAAATTTGTGAAATTTTATTTAAATTAAATTCAAAATTCCGACCCACTGTGGCGTCTATGGTTAGCCCAATCCTAATGCAAATTCCTATTCAAATCAAAACAAGCTTTTGAGTGGCATTTTTTTAAGATTCATAAACAGAATAAACTTATTAAGTTAAAGAAGAAAATTTGTATTGCATTATATTTTAATTTTATAATTTTTATGACTTACTTTGACTACAGGTTTTATTATCTAAGATAATCATAGAAATCCCACATTTATTTTCAGTGTTTAGTATACCCCTCCAACTGTCACCTCACGTTCCCAACCACCCTCTCCTTCTGCTCCCTCACCCCCTCTCGCTGTGTTCTAGTATGAGTATCCTCTCCTCATGGGTTGTCAGCTGCTGGCTGTTGGCTGTTGGCAATGCATCACTGATTATGAAAAGCTTGGCTAAAAGCTGGACTCATGATATATTGCTTTTGTTGTTGTTCTTTTTATTTTTTGTTGCAGGTGTTGTTGCTGCTGTTGTTGCTGCTGCTGCTCGTGCTGCTGCTGCTGGTGTTGCTATTTTGCGGTATCATTCCCGCTGATGCGACTGCCAGATGTTAACGGCATTCTATTGCCATCATCGTATCGCGCACGTAAGCGACACGACACAATAATGAAGTTTTATGCTTTGCCACCTGCAACATACGTACATACTACTCAACCATCATTGACAGAGGGGTGAGACAAAGAGAGAGAGAGAGATAGAGACAGAGAGGAGCTTGCAACAAGAAGAATAACAACAGGCAGCAGCAGCAGCAGCAGCCAAAGCCACAGCCACAACGGCGCAATCAACTGAAAAACGCTGGCGATTTCTTTTTGTGACTTTTATGTGGAAAGATAAGTATGTGCCACACGGTTCTACCCGGTTTCCCGGCTGTGTTGGGTTGGGGAAAAGCTGAGCTGTCTGGGAGTTCGTTAAGGGAAACCTCATCAATAATGCCTGCAACTGGTCAGAGATTGTGCAGCAGCAGCAGCAGCAGCAGAGCAAGAGGGGGCGCACGTGGGGGTAGAACAGAGAGATATATTTCCAGATAATAAGAAATAATCATCCGTGGGTGTGGGTGGGTGTGAGTGTGAGTGTCTGTGAGAACTGTGAGACTATTATGACAGTTTAAAGAATCTCTTTACGTTGAATTGTTATGACCATCAGGTTTTTATGGGGAAACGAATGAATGGTATATGTGAATAAAGAGTGAATGCATGCTTAATAGACACTCAAATTATGCTTCAAATATGGATTTATATCTGACTTGCAATTAAGCTTTGAAAGTGGAATGCATGGCAGTTTATTAATTGACAGAAAATCTTTTTATTTTGAAGTAGTTTGCGTGTGAATTGAGTCAGAATTGCACTATTTGGTACCTATTTTAATGTAATCTTAGTGGAATAAAGTTCCTAATTAATACTCACTCTAGTAAGAAGACATTTGTGTAGTTTTGGATCAAGTTCAATCAATTTCAGTCTTTGTAGAATGCATCTAAAAAATATAAGAAAAACACAAAGAATTAAAATATTTATTTGAAGAAGATCAAAAGAAATCAAATATGTAAGCATATAGAATATGTTATCATACATTTTGTACATACATGTATGTACATAATATTTAGATTATGGAATGGAATAGTCTCAGGAATTTTCCGTATGAAATTTCAATTTTTAAATCAAAGTACTAATGAACATGGAACAAATTTATTTTTGCAGTATACATGATTCTATTCTTTATTAAAATAAATCAAAAATTAGCGTTTTAGGGAAAATGGTTTTTTTTTGTATTTTATTTTTTTTTTAAACCTTGAAAAAATTGATATTTTTATCGATC